CTAAAAAACTGTAATCCACTTAGTGATTGTTAATGTGTGACATCTGTCAAAATTGTTTCCATTTTTCAGACTGCTGAAACATTGAGACTAAATGTTTTGTTGTTGCACCCACAAGTCAGAATTGTTTCAACATAGAGTTGAGTTTACACGCACACTAGTATAAACAGGTCAGGTGGATCAATACTGTGTAAGTGTCAAAATATTTGGAGGAAATTATGATTTGTTTCAGCTTTTATCCATCATCAGGAGGTCAGAGGTGTAAAGTTTCTAACCGTTCAAAAGTTTGGGGTCACCCAAGTGTTTTCCATGAAAAGTCACACTTATTCACCACCATACGTTGTGAAATGAATAGAAAATAGAGTCAAGGCATTGACAAGGTTAGAAATAATGATTTGTATTTGAAATAAGATTTGTTTTACATCCCACTTTCGTCAAAGAATTCTCCATTTGCAGCATTTACAACATTGCACCAAAAAAAATTGCAGCTAGAATAGTCATTTACCACATAAGCAATGTATAGAGTGTATTTCTTTACAGTTAAGACTAGTTTAAAGTTTTCTACAGTGCTTTTCCTTCAAGAATAAGGACATTTCAATGTGACCCCAAACTTTTGAACGGTAGTGTATATGCACTATACTGTGCCTCTAGACTGCTTGACATCATGGCCATAATTGGCTTAATTTCGTCCAATTTGTATCTATTTAAACTCAAACATAGTATCCTTTTGTTTGCCATCATGGGATAATATACTAAGGATAGTGGACATCCGGATGTTCCACCTCTGCTGCTGTGACCCGTCCTGCTCCACCCAGAGGCCACTCCATCTCTGCTGCTGTGACCCGTCCTGCTCCACCCAGAGGCCACTCCATCTCTGCTGCTGTGACCCGTCCTGCTCCACCCAGAGGCCACTCCATCTCTGCTGCTGTGACCCGTCCTGCTCCACCCAGAGGCCACTCCATCTCTGCTGCTGTGACCCGTCCTGCTCCACCCAGAGGCCACTCCATCTCTGCTGCTGTGACCCGTCCTGCTCCACCCAGAGGCCATTCCATCTCTGCTGCTGTGACCTGAAGGGCTGTTGCTGATTATTACTATTGTTAGCTTTTTGGGATTATCAATTTTGTTTTTTATTTTTGCTGCTACTGGACACCTACATTTCTCCTACGGGGATCAATTATCTATCTATCTATCTATCTATTTATCAATCTATCTATTTATCAATCTATCAATCTTCCACAAGTCTGGCTTATCCCTGGGAGTGATTCCACATGAATCTGTTCAAACAATATGAAATAAAGAAAACATGGGACAACCGAGCCATACTGCTCAGGAACGAGACAAAAAGTCTTGAATGAATCTGAGAACTGACGTTATTGGGAAGTTGGAGCTTACAGGTGTAATATCCTTTCCTGTGTATGAGTTCCACACATCTTCTAAGTAAAACCTCTGACCCTCTGCGTCTAAGATGTAATGAATAAAAGATGTACAGTTTTTCTTAGTCGCTTTTGTGCATTTCTCACATCATTCTTCACATTTGCACAACAGTTAGTGCATTTCTCAGAACAATTAGTGCAAACTGCAAAACCTGGTGGATAACCTGCAAAAGTGCATCACCCTCTCAAAATGAAAAGTTTATTCCTCAAAAGCAAGTCTTCATGTCAATGAAACTGTCTGTGTCGTCAAAATAATATGTCCTAAAAACATTGAGTATGAACAAAAAAAGTTAAAGTTTACTCTCTCTGTGTTTTCAAAGTAAAAAAGTGAGATCTTGGTGACTATGAGCACACTATAACGACCTACAGTATACAGCCATTTACAGTAAAAACTACAGTAAAGTTACACAAAGAATGTCTTTAGAGAGGTGAATGTAAATGTATGTATGTATGTATGTATATGTATGTAAATGTATGTATGTATGTATGTATGTATGTATGTATGTATGTATGTATGTATGTATGTATGTATGTGTATGTATGTATGTATGTATGTATGTATGTATGTATGTATGTATGTATGTATGTGTATGTATGTATGTATGTATGTATATGTATGTAAATGTATGTATGTGTATGTATGTATGTATGTATGTATATGTATGTAAATGTATGTATGTATGTATGTATGTATGTATGTGTATGTATGTATGTATGTATGTATGTATGTGTATGTATGTATGTATATGTATGTATGTGTATGTATGTATGTATATGTATGTATGTATGTGTATGTATGTATGTATGTATGTATGTATGTGTATGTATGTATGTATGTATGTATGTATGTATGTGTATGTATGTATGTATGTATGTGTATGTATGTATGTATATGTATGTATGTGTATGTATGTATGTATGTATGTATGTGTATGTATGTATGTATGTATGTGTATGTATGTATGTGTATGTATGTATGTATGTATGTATGTATGTATGTGTATGTATGTATGTATGTATGTATGTATGTATGTATGTGTATGTATGTATGTATGTATGTATGTATGTATGTATGTATGTATGTATGTATGTGTATGTATGTATGTGTATGTATGTATGTATGTATGTATGTGTATGTATGTATGTATGTATGTATGTGTATGTATGTATGTATGTCTGTATATTTTGTATGTATGTATGTGTACTGCATGTCTCACATATTTACTGCATATGCTCCTTGCAATTCTACAGCATTGTGCAACAAAAAAACAGTCACATAGATGTATATACATAGAACAAACAGAACTGGAACAAATGTAAACAATAAAAACACACACCTCCTCATGAGTGAAAGCTGAAATTCACTTGAGAGAAATTGATCAATTTAGGAAAGATTTACAGTAAAAAAAAAAAAATAGTAAAAGGAATGTATGAAATTAGTTTGACAAATATGATTTTGAGAACTAGTTCAACAATTTTGTATGTGATGACCAAAGCGATGAAATGAGGACTATTGGTTTTATAGGGAATGACTTTTCAGAAGTGATATGTTTCATTCTGACTGACAGGACAGAAGCAAATGATAATGTTAAAAAGCTGCAGAGAATTGTATGAATGCAACTGAGACATGTCCAAAAGCATTTTGAAATGTGTTCAAAGGAGAAACTGCTGCGATGATGTCTCACACGACTCAGTGTTGTGGAGGTTCAACTATAGTTTTGAGAACTTGAAGTCTGAGAAATGCACCAAAGCGACTGAGAAAAACTGTAAATCCTTTGAACACTTTGTCATAACATTATTGAAATAAAATAACTTCATTTTACTTGACTGAAATATCAAGAATGTGAAAAGTATTTTAAAAAAGTGTTGTTAACAGTAGTTTATATTTTTGTATGCGTTAAATTATGCTGTTTTAAGGAAGTTTCTTCATTATAGTGCCTTGAGTTATTAACCTTAACAATTGTGGGAGAGGTGTAAATTTTTTAAGTGATTTATTAAGAAATATTGTAGCTTAAAGATCATTGTTTTCAATACAGTAAGTTAAAATAAAAAATACAAATATTGATAATTACAATAATTCACATGACATGGAGGAAATCTAAAAACAGTCAGAGCAAGGCCAACATGTCATTTGTTCTCCAACCAACACCGACAGGGTTGGTTAGCATTCTCGCTTCTCAAGATTATCTGGGATTCGTATCCCTGTTGGACCAGAGCCTTTCTGAAAGGCGTTTCCTCGTGTGGGTTTCCTCTGGGTGCTCCGGTTTCCCCCACCACTTAAATATGTACAATAGGAAAAATCATCCAGCTCTGGTCCCGACCAAGCCATATCTGATCACAAAGGCTCTTGTGACATTGCTTTATGGGTCAAATTCAGAGGACAAATATAAAAACACAAATATATCTATGGGGATAGGCAATGTGGGTGAAGGACACGACAACAGTTTGGCATTTTACATGAGTCACGCTATACTGCACGTGGTGTTCCCAGAGGTCCCCCATCACTATCCAGACCTTCCCATGCTTAGCAGTTAATGCGGGACTATACAAAAGAAATGACCATGGTGCAGCCATCTTTTGAATGTATTAAATCCTTCAAATAACGCACTAAACTAGACACTAAAATACAAAATCGCCAAGAAAATTCCTTTTGAAGAGTTATATCCGCTGCAGCTGTCAGACGCGCACGTCACATCAGGAGTAGATGTCCAGGCGCGGACAGAGGGACAGCTCTTGCACACATTATACTTGTATGGAGTCTGGCCTTGTTCCTGTGGGCGGACACACGCGCGTCTCGGCCTCAGCCATGCATCACCGCCTGGCGCCGTGGCCTCTCCACTTCCACAACATCAGGTGTAATGTTACTGTTTGTTGTGGCCTCTAACGCTAATAATGAGTCTGGAAGACAATGTTGATGGTAAAGCTGTTCAACATCGGCGAAGATCACTCAACCCCAAAGGACAGCGCACCCATTGTGGATTAAGCAAGTCGCCTACATGGGCAAATGGACCTGTGGATAGCTCTTTAATAATACTATAATAATAATAATAATGGTAGTAGTAGTAGTAATAATACGAATGATTTTATTATCTATAATACCAATTATGCAGCATACTCTCTTTGGGCCTGATATGACGCAATTAGGCTGTGTGTCAAATTAGGTTAAGGAACAATGTGTGCTCAGTGGGCCTATGTTAAACATGAACTGCGTGCTTTAGGAGAGAAGTTCTGGGAGTTGATCATGAAAGATGAGAAGATGTGTTGGCTGGGTGTTGGCTTGTATTGTCGAAGGAGGGTGACAGAGATATCTTAGCGCTGATCAGCTGGACCCTTGATTCGACTCTTGAGAACCCCTGACAGCAGCATCAGTCAGAGGACAGACGCACAGCACGCAGTGTCTCTTGGCGTGCGCAACGGCCGAATCTTTTTGGGATGTATTCTAGTGTAGCAATTTCCACACCTTTTTCAGTGAAGGACATTTTGAATTTGCAAGATTGTGAAAATGAACTTCGAATAACAGACCAAGTCGTACCAAAAAGCGATTACGTCCAACGTATTTCAACGAAAGATATGAAGTCAAGGCCGATGGATGAGTGTGAAAACACACACTTGCGCAAGTGGAAGGAGGAAGACGAAATGAGAAAATGTGGTAAGCCACTGGAAGTGTAAAAGAAAATAATTTTGGTCTATTGTTTTTTGCAAATGTAGATTGCATTGTATGTAGCCTATTAATTGATTGTCAATTAATTGGATAATGTCTGCAATGTCAAGATTCATAAAAGGGAAAAGGAAGATTTTACATTTTTGTATGGTGTTAAAAAGTACACCAGCAGTATGCCTAAAGAATGCACAAACCCGATGTGGGTTGGGTTGTTATTGTAATCCAGAATGTTAGCTATGTTAACTATGTTACACAGGCACATGCACATTTTGGTAAAGGCCTATGGCCTAACTGCAGCTGCACACACTTGACTGAATACTTGGTGAGAAATATAATTTGGGGAATGCACGGAAACATATGACTTAGATCGTATCTTCTGTGTACAGACATGAATCCTCTGGACAACAGGTCAGGCGCAGAGCAGACGGCAGAGGGCCGTGCGCGGAGGAGAGCCCGGGTCCTCTTCTCTCAGCTGCAGGTGTCCGAGTTGGAGCGGCGCTTCCAGCAGCAGCGCTACGTGTCCGCGGCAGAGCGGGAGGCACTGGCCCACACGCTGCAGCTCACGTCCACACAGGTCAAGATCTGGTTCCAGAACCGCAGGTACAAGAACCGGCGGCAGCGCCAGGATGAGTCCCTGGAGCTCGCGGGATTCTCGTGCGCACCGCGGATCGTGACGGTGCCTGTACTCGTGAGGGACCAGGGGCCTCACCCCATGGCGTTCCCCGTCCCTCTGGGTCATTATAATTCTATCATGCATTATGAGAACGGCCGCTTCGGTGGGCACTCTTTCCACAGCGCGTCGCCATGCTCAGGCCCCGGGAGGAACGAACACTTTTCAGAGACGCTGAACCATGGATCTATCTTAGCGCTGCACTCCGAAGGGCCCACCGACCACAGACACTTCCACGGCTTGAGAGGCTGGTGAGCCCGCTCAAATTGGGATTGCAATTTCAGGCAATAGTAGCCGTGCAGAACTTTTATTTTTACATATTTTAAACATTTTAAACTGTGAGATTTCATAACACTTTTAAGCAACTTTTGTTAAAGTTAAACTCATCATTCTATCAATGTGCAGAAGCCAGTACTTTTCCCTTGTTTTGTCTATCTAAAGGCCAAGCTACATGCACACCGTGGAAGCTGCTGATTGGAGGTCTCCATACCTCCGCTCTGTATAATACACTTGCATTCTATTGTATCTGGGATCGTGTGCTTTGATCGTGCTGTCTACCATCGACAATAAAACAAGTCTTCTGTCTGAATGAAAGACGCGATCCCAGACTATGTCATCTTCTTCAAAACAGTAGATAATATTTAATTTTTTCAATGTGTGACCATTTCTGAAACAGTACAAATATAGCTTTATGCAAGGAATTTATACGCCAACAACAAAAACATATACTTAATCAAATATGTTTTTAAAAAAAAGAAGTACATAGACCAGGCCTAAGCCATTCACGCCGACCCTTGCCGCTGAGAGGCACGGAGACAAACATAAACATTCGTAGCTTAAATGACAGAATTACAATTACAGAATATAACATCGTGTTTGACTCTGAGCCGTGGATTATCTTTAGCATGGACAATGGACAGTCGACCTGCAGACTGCTCTATCAAACCAGCTCATTATAGTGCACTCACTAATCCGCAGATAAGACGGAGAAGCTCGTCCTGTCCCAACTTTGCTTAGTAAACAAAAGCACAGACTGAGTGGCTCTAACTTCTTCACTTTACCTTCACTCAGGCAGATGTTGGATACATGTCAATCACCAACAATCCACTGACATCTCACAAAACCAGCCAATGCTGCACAAGGCGACCCGCCAGCGAGGGATTGGGCTTGGAGTGCTGTGTGGTTGTTATCTACACTTTATTATTACACTGCTAGTTTATTTGGTCGACAACAAAACCATTTTATAGACAGAACATATTTTGACTGAAGATTGGCATTTATTTCGCCCAACCTTGCAGTGCCTTGAGAAAAAAGAAATATGACTTTTTTGGGTTAAATATGTTTAATGTCTCCATGCATGATTTGTAGGATTTGGAATGATCAATTAAATGATTTATTTTAAACAGAAATTTTAGGCTATACCTATTTTTGTTTTGTTTGTTTTGAAAATACATTTTGTTTGTTCCAAGCAAAAGGTCTGGTTTTAAATCAGACCTCTTCTTTCTGAGAGCTGATATCTCTTTTTTATACTGAATTTCTCCATTGTGAGATAATAAAGTGCATCTCATCTAAAGCTGATCCAAAGATGTGATTGAGACCAACAATACAAGTATGTGAAACTTAGTGATAGAAACAAACAGTTGTGTTGTGTACTCCAGCATTAAAGAGAAACCACACTTGATGTTGATTATTGAACTTCTACTTTCTTCTTAGGAAACAATTTATGAATGAAAAGCATAGAGCACTCGAGGAAGAGAAAAGTAGTGGAACTTGTATGACTGGCAACAATGGCCATAGCCTTGCATGTTGGAGGCAGGGGTAAAACATTGTGTAAGAAGTCCAAAGATGTGGCATGATAACGATGACAATCATCTGAAACCCAACCCTAACCCAATCTGTGGTTGGGTTTTGTTATGACACAAAACAATCGACTGCAAAGCAGCTATTCAATTATCAGTGCAAAGAAAACATGTTGAAAAATGCCTTCCTGGAATAAAAGGTCAACGTGTGTCTAATGTCACATGTATTCATATTTTAGGGAGAAAATACAAACCTTAGTGATAATAATACCCAGTGTATTATTATCATTTTCAGATTTGTTGGTGCTGCATCGTTAAAGTGAGTAAAATAAAGATGAATTGTAAATGAAGCAGACAGCGGCAGACAGTCACAGCCGGTGAACTATCATCATGATAATCTAAATACTGTGTTGACAAGACAGCAGCTAATGTCTGCAGAGAGCCTGCAAGGTATTTCAACAAAAGGAGGGCGCACGGAAGACACCTTTTTATCACACTTTAAAACTAATAATATGGGCCTTCAATAAAAAATACTTATTGTTAATCGATTCAATTTTAATGACAAATTCAAACTTTTTGAAGTAAAAGTAATATAATATTTTGAAGAAAAGAATGTGCTTAAAGTTATATACATAATATGTATAAAACTAATGAGAAAATGCCCTCACCCCCTCACACAGTCGAGCAGCTTCAGTTAATAAAATAATAATAATAATACTTATATTATCTTGGACACTTATCACTTTTCTTGGACACTCAAAGTAACAAAAAGAAGCAAAAGTTAAAGCAGAGTTAAAGAAGCAAAGGTTAAAAAGAAGCAAAAAAGAAGACAAAAAATAAAAAAGTATTTAACAGTGTAGGCAGTGTTGAACAGGTGGATTTTGAGCTGTGATTTAAGGTTTTGAAGTGAGTTTGAGTACCTTGTGTTGTATGTGGAATGGGACAGGGAGTGGAGTTATTTGAGGATGGGGGTGATGTGGTCCATAGCGGAAGCTATTGCAGTGGTCAGGTTTGGAGGTGATGAACGCATAGATTTACGCAATGGCTTGTTGGAAGGAGTGGTGTAAAAAAGTGGTTTAAATGAAACAATAATTGAAAGTATACAAAGTAAAGAAAGTATTCGAAGTAAAAGTGGTCCCTTTGTCCTGCCCCTCCCCTTATCAGTGAGCTCCACCCCCTCACTTGTATAAATGCAGACAGTTGGTTTGAGCACACACACAACAGTCTAGCTGAATTGGACATGTCTGCTGAAGTCAAATCTCTGACTTCTTTCCTCATAGAGGACATACTTGCACTCAAAGACGACACAAAATTCAGAGATAAATGGTGCTTACCACAGACGGGGAGATGTGCACAGCGGACAAAGGAGCAGGTAGCAGAAGAATGCAACGCGGACACTTCAGGTCACATGCAGACAGGTGAGTCACTGATGGTACTGCCAAATTAAACAGCAGCTGTTAGCCAACATTACCACCTGCAACTCATCTTTACAAACAGACTCTATGATGGGCCAGTTTTTAATTGGTGTCTTCTCACAGACAGTATGCAGTTCCCCTGTCCCAGCTCCTCTGAGGCCTCCACTCACGATGGGAGACAGAGGCGCTCCAGAGCAGCTTTCAGCCACCTCCAGGTGATGGAGCTGGAAAAGAAGTTTAACCAACAAAAGTACCTGTCTGCCCCCGAAAGGGCTCACTTAGCCAGTGCTCTGAGACTGACTGAGACCCAGGTGAAAATCTGGTTTCAGAACCGCAGGTATAAGACCAAACGCAAGCAGCAAACAGAGATTTCAAAAGAAATGAGTAAAGTGGACGAGATGATTCTAAGGGATGATTTTCTAAGATCAACATTGGTCACATCTTTCCACAAAGCCTATCACTGCCGTCCATACTTTTGGGACTATGGTGCTCCATGGGGCTTAACATGATGTGAAATATATTTTACAGTAATGTAACTATTTTATAGTGACTTAAAACACAGCACATGGTAATAATGTATTTATTTTTTATAAAATGTTAAATTATTCTGCTTAAACAGGAGGTACATTTTTTTCGCATCGAGCTCAAAACAAAAAGAAGGTGATAAGTTAAGCAGAGTTCATTCAAACTTGCAGCATTTGACGTGTTTCCTGAATGAGTGTCCCAACTGTGAAGAATGTGTCCTGTCTCCTCTTCATTAAGCTGTATAGCATAGTTCTTCACCAGGATTCGTGTGCATGTCCTCAAAAGTACAAACCGCATTGGACTGACATTCAATTCATTCATTATTATTTGTAAAATTAAATTCTCGCTATATCTACATGTGTGTTTTATCATTTCTTTAACATGTATTAATACATTTCATCAGTCAACTAAGTCCTATTGAAAAGTTACATAAATTGTAAATCAAGACTGAAGCTGAGCTTCTACACAATACACAAAATAACTGAAATCATTCATATAAAGTGGTCTAATGATTATAAATGTATGCAGCTAAACAAAGTGTTGTGACTATTATAGAATCCTGGATATTAAAATGTTGTGAACGTTTCTGAAACCTTTGGAAATGAAATGGATGTAAAGTATTTGCTCTTTGGATTGTATTGTTTTGGAGCAAAAAAGTAATTAGAGCGAAGAGTGCTCTGATATCATCTGTTGTGACGGCTCAGAGAGTCTGACAGTGTCTCTGCCGAACACAGACAGGATCATCAGATAAAGAAGAGGCTTTAGGTTGTGAGAGACACGGCTATTGTAGTTACTATTGCAATAGGTGCAATACTGCCAGCCAAACAACAGGACCAAAGAAGAGCATTTCTTTACAAAACAGTCTTATTCTTATCCTAAGTGTATGATATAATAATGTTTTTTTTTAAATCATTTCATATTTTTGATTATATATTTTGATTTTGATGGGAGAACATATAAATAAATGTGTACACAATAGTTTTAGACTCAATGATTAGAGTGAGTCTTCTAAATGTTTTTTAAAATAATAATCAAAATCAAAAGTAGTAGTAGTATGTGTTTTCAGAAATGTTAAGTTGAACCAACAGGCATGTTAAATAAACCAGGACGAACCCTGAAGAAAGTAGGTACAGTGGAGCCCTGATGCTCTTTAAGCCTCTTTAATGAGGCTTTGAAAACATCTTGATAACCAAACTGATAAAGAGAAAACCGTGCAGACAGCGTTTGTCATGGACTCAATATGCCATGACAAGCCGACAAACTCACCAGAGTAGATAAGATCATTCTGTAGTGTTTTTTGGACTTGCATGTGCCCCTCATTCCAAATGTATTTCTTTATCATAGACAGAGCACAGCATTCATTCTGTAAAATGTTGAACAAGGGTTTCATGCTTTCCCTAAACTTCTTATCATCCCAGGTATCAAAATGAAACAAGACATTTAACTTGAGATGAACGACAAGGACAGAAGCCTGGGCTGAGGGTCTGTTTACCGTTTCAGATTAACACACTGTAGGAGAGAGAAGGGCTAAAAGCAAACATCAGAGGACAGTGGAATTACCCCAGTGTACGTGTCCCAGAGCATGTTTGAACATAGTTCATTCTTCATCTTACATCAAATCTGACTTAATGAGTCCTCGTCCGCTCCACAGTTGGCTTCTTCTATAAACAACTGAACAAAAAGCAGAAAACAAAAAAAAACCGGACAAGTACATCTTATAATAATGAAACTTGATATAAATGATATTTTCATGTTACAACCACACCTCATTATTTTCAGTGGGTGTCAAACACAACGTGTCAGGCAACTGTGAAGTAAAAGCAAAATGACAAGAAACATAACAGTTAAAACTTGCACATGGCAAACTTTTTACAGTTTAGTGTCACAGAAAACAAGTATTTCTTGTTATATTTTGGGAGAAAAGCCTGATCGTGATGCCATACTAATACTGAACGAACTTGGACAGGCACAGATTTTGCCAACTGTAACAAATGTTTATGCTTGTTTCATTGGCAAATGTTATTTTAGAAGCTGGTTACATTTAATTTACTTCAAGACTTCAAGAAAGTAAACCCCACCAAGAGAATTCTTTCTTGAGATCGATCCAAGCAAAGTCCTTCAGGAGAAGGACCAGGGAAGAGTGGACCCCCCAGGCCCAACAGCAGGGTGGACAGACCCCTGGGCACTCCCAGACCACATGGAAGATGGTGTTACCATGGCGCAAAGAGCAGTTTAGGTCTTTTTCTTACAGGGATAAGTCTGTGGTGTTAAGTAAGTCTTGAGTTAAAAATTCAGTCTTTAGAGGAACAGATTACAGTATCCCAGTCAAGGTAAAATAATGATAAGGAAATATAGTCATATAAGGCTTTGTATATTATTTTTTAACGATACTGAGTATTATTATGTGTATGATACACTAAAGTATATTTTTAAAGTGCATAAGAAAACTTGATTTACCAGTGTTGAGGTTTAGTTTGTGAGTTTTAAAACAACTGGTTTTCACCAATAAAATTGAAATGAGAAACAATTTGAACAGCCATTGTTTTGGATACAGTACAATCCAATCATGATTCGGTTTGAAAAGGTTGAGTATATATTTGGATACAGATCATGTTACACAGAGTTCAACATCAAAACACACTCCTCCTGGGAGCAGGCAATTGATCAAGAATATTTGTTGTAGATTAATTATAGGAGCCAAATATGTGTTTTTCTTTGCGTAATTGGTCTTTGTGTCCATGAGGGGGCGCATTCATCTTTTATATGAATCATGAGCTCAGGGTTGAGTGCAGGTGTGAAAGTTGATGACCGGACAGTGGATGACTGGAGTAATAGTTTGTGCAGTATGATTGCTGATAATGTTAAGTTGTTTATTCCAGAAAAGGGTAAACCAAGAGAAAAGGGTTGTGTTCCCTGGTGGAACAAGGACTGCAGTGCCGCTATCAGGAATAGAAATAAAATGTATAAGAAATTTAGGAAGTATCCAACAGAGGAAAACGCAATAGAATACAAGAAATTGAGAGCAGTGGCCCGGAGGGTTATCAAGAATGCAAAACGAATGTGCTGGACTGGAGGCAGTATTGCAGCAAGCTAGGAGCGGAGACAACTCTCCAGCGAGTGTGGTCCAGTGTGAGACCGCGGTAAAGTGGCCCGCATCTTTCAGCTCTATGAACATGCGGGCCGCATCGGGGAAAAGACGGTGCGCGTTTTGTTGAGAACTTACGGTAACAGCGGAACGTCCTTTCGGAGTCACCCATTTTTATCGAACAGAAAGCGCGCTGGGGTCAGGGAGACACGTTTTTGTGATTTAAACCTTATAGAGATGACACATAGCACCAGCCCCCTACGATTCCTCCGGCAGATTGTGAGTCCTCAGGAGGATAGCCACTCTATTGTTTACATATATAAAGTACACAATTTGGTCCGCTAGTGCAATTTTCAAGTATTGTAACTATTTACTGGAATAAGGTGTGCGACTAATTTCACTTGACTCATGAGCTTATTATTGCCCTCTACCACTGTACCAAAGACCAGAAACTTTTACTGTAGAAATATTGAGAAATATTGAGGTAAAGTAGCCATTTTGGTCCAAAATACCTCCAAAATAGTCAAAACATGTCACTTTTGATCTACTGTAACTTTTTACTGTAAAAAGGTGTGCGACTAATTTCACTGGATTCATGACCTCAACATTGCCCTCTACCACTGTACCAAAGACCAGACACTTTTACTGTAGAAATATTGAGAAATATTGATTTAAAGTAGTCATTTTGGTCCAAAATAGCCTAAAAATGGTCAAAACATGTCACGTTTGATCTACTGTATCTTCTTACTGTAAAAAGGTGTGCGACTAATTTCACTGGATTCACGACCTCATGATTGCCCTCTACCACTGTACCAAAGAGCAGGAACTTTTACTGTAGAAATCTGGAGAAATATGGAGTTATAAGTAGCCATTTTGGACCAAAATGGCTACTTTACCTCAATATTTCTCAATATTTCTACAGTAAAAGTTCCTGGTCTTTGGTACAGTGGTAGAGGGCAATCATGAGGTCATGAATCCAGTGAAATTAGTCGCACACCTTTTTACAGTAAAAAGTTACAGTAGATCAAAAGTGACATGTTTTGACCATTTTTAGGCTATTTTGGACCAAAATGACTACTTTAAATCAATATTTCTACAGTAAAAGTTCCTGGTCTTTGGTACAGTGGTAGAGGGCAATGTTGAGGTCATGAATCCAGTTAAATTAGTCGCACACCTTTTTACAGTAAGAAGATACAGTAGATCAAAAGTGACATGTTTTGACCATTTTTAGGCTATTTTGGACCAAAATGGCTACTTTAACTCCATATTTCTCCAGATTTCTACAGTAAAAGTTCCTGGTCTTTGGTACAGTGGTAGAGGGCAATCATGAGGTCATGAATCCAGTGAAATTAGTCGCACACCTTTTTACAGTAATAAGTTACAGTAGATCAAAAGTGACATGTTTTGACCATTTTTAGGCTATTTTGGACCAAAATGACTACTTTAAATCAATATTTCTCAATATTTCTACAGTAAAAGTTCCTGTTCTTTGGTACAGTGGTAGAGGGCAATCATGAGGTCATGAATCCAGTGAAATTAGTCGCACACCTTTTTACAGTGAAAAGTTACAGTAGATCAAAAGTGACATGTTTTGACAATTTTTAGGCTATTTTGGACCAAAATGGCTAATTTAACTCCATATTTCTCCAAATTTCTACAGTAAAAGTTTCTGGTCTTTGGTACAGTGGTAGAGGGCAATGTTGAGGTCATGAATCCAGTGAAATTAGTCGCACACCTTTTTACAGTAATAAGTTACAGTAGATCAAAAGTGACATGTTTTGACCATTTTTAGGCTATTTTGGACCAAAATGACTACTTTAAATCAATATTTCTCAATATTTCTACAGTAAAAGTTCCTGTTCTTTGGTACAGTGGTAGAGGGAAATCATGAGGTCATGA